AATATGAAGCTGGCTTCTGAGACCACCATAAACCTACTATGAAGTAGACGTTATACTGAAAGGCATCCATCTCTTCATAAAAGTCTGCAGGCGAAATTAAATCCAATCCAGGATTGGATTTCCTGACCTGTTGGGTTTTTTTCTTTGTTTGCAAAAAATCCCCAATTATTCCTGTTTGTGATTTCTATTAAAACTGTGGTGGAGGTGGAGGGCGTTGAAACAATGACATTCTCCCCACACAATTCCCTTGATAAAAAACGGCACATGCATCCAAAAGCTCATTTGCTCTGCTAGGGAAAATGGTTGCACTAAAGGGGCAAATCAAAGCTTGGCAGGTGACAATCTTTGAAGTCACATAAAAAGGGATGAAAACACCCACCTGGTGCAAAGTGACAACTGTCCGTTTGCAAGACAGCAGATCCTGCATACCTTCTTCTTGGAGGCCAATAATTTCCTGGGGGGTGGGGGGTGTTTGCACATCCCACTGCTGACAAACTTTAAACTTGCATATGTGAAACCTTTGGCAAGAGAAAGGGACAGTTAGTACTGTGTAATCACAGACAAACGTGATGCTCCCCTCCACCACCCTGGCCATGAGAGGTATCTTCTTGTCATTGGATAAGAGCTCTGAATCCCCTCTCAAAGCAAATTTTGCCCTGGAGTCAAACCTTGAGAAAATTCAGTCTGGGAATAATCTCAGTCTAATTGGAATGATATTTATTTACTTATTTCTTCAAATTTATAACTCCCCAAAAAGAGTTCAGGGTAGCTTACAATAATAAAATTACATTAAAACAATTTCAAGCAACACTATAACACATTACGGGCAGCAGTTGAACTCAGCAGTATGAGAAAGGCTTCTTTGTGCTGATGAAGAGAGAAGTTTGTTTGTCTCAAATTAAACCTAATATAATGAGATTACACAGCAAAAGCAAGCTCACACCTCTCATTGAGTTGGTATACATACGTAAGAGGATCGTTTATTATTATATTTTGGGAGTGATTCCTGTTCTTATGTAACTGCCATGTTTTATACTTTCTGGATGTCCCATGATCATATTATAAAAGTAGTTGCTTTCTATGTGATATATCAAGCACTGCTAAGAGTTGTATTTCTTATCAATATATTGTATTTCCAATGTATTTCTTATCAATAAAAATCAATAAAAGAAAATTATTCTGAAAGTGTGGCCCAGAGGAAAAAAGTTTGAGCACCACTGGTCTAGAGAGAAGGTCTCCTATATTCTTAGGTTCCTTAGTGCCCTGGGACAGCTAATCCATTTGGGGGCCCCCTGAAGCTTGAACTGTTATGGGGGGGTCCCTTCACAACCAGCAATGAGGTCTGGGTAACCTCTAACCTCTTCCATGGGGTTGTTCCACAACAGATCACCACACCTTTACACTGTGCTACTGACTCTCAAACTTAGGGATTGTTGAAATAGATACAACAAAAAATTAACCAATTTGAATCACGTGACTCAAATTTGGGGTACTAGACCCAAAAATTTTAAGCAGTGTGGACTAAAATTGCTTCTGGGGCCCATCTGGGATTTGAGGCCCTCAAGCTTAAGCTTTGTTAGTTTCATAGTGGATCCGCCTGCGACCTCTTCTAATGTAGAACTGTCACAAGAAAATATGCAAATCTGTAAGAAAATTGCACTCTAGCCATATTTATGAGTCTCTTATGTTTGTTACTAACGCCAGTAAAACACATGCAGGAACAATCAGGCAGTACTCACAGAAGTGGCCATTTGTGTAGGGTGGGTTGGCTTCTTGTGCATGTCTGCCAGGCTAGAACCAGAAACAGGACTTGCCTAAATCCCATGGCACGTAGCACAATGTGAATTATGAACTTTCCCAATTCACGAGTGATCCGCAAACCAAAAATTATTTGCTGATTCTGCAAATAACTTAAAATAACGAATACATTGGAGAAGTCTGCGATCTGGTCTCAATCAGTTCTCAAGCACCAAAAAGGTGAAACTTGCCAGATAAATATTATGTTACTAATTATTCACCTAGCTGTGTTTTACACTTACGGGGCTCTTTTACAGATAATGTTTCAAAACCATTCACAAGGAATTCATTACAAATATCTCACGGGTCACTGAGTTCCCTGAAAGCTGGGTCAGATATTCAAAGGAATACTATGGAAACACTGAATCATGTACTTAATATTCCTACTACACTGCAGAGTTGCATAAAGAGGAAAAATTCAGCATAACCTTCAGGACATGCTATTTTTAGTTGTAAGAATGACCTTGGCCTCTGCAATGAGGTGGGTGAGGCTATGAAGGAGAGGGCTATTGATGGCTACTAACCACCATGGCTATGCTCTGCCTCCACAGTGGAAACTGCAGGATTTGTGCTCAAATCTTGCTTCCAGGTTTCCCACAGGCTAATGGTCAGCTACTGTGAGGATGTGGGAATGGATGGACCATCGGGGAATCCAGGAGACTCTTCTCATGCTCATGTCATGACTGATCACACTGATTTCGATGAAAACTAAGCCCACCCAATGTATTTGTAAACATTTCTACCACTCACATTTTAAACATTTTTTCAAGGTCTTTTGTATACCTCTTGATCTACTCAAAATGCCCAGGGTTTTAGCATCAAGTTGGCCAACTGCCATCTTTGTAAACTTAATCACCCTCCCTCCCTGTTCTGTCTTTTCCAGGCTGCTGTAGCAGAGACTTCTAACTCCTTTCATTTCCTTCAGTAGCCTTTTCCCATGGCTGACTGACACCCACCCTGGAAATAAGCTAGGCGAGACAAAGTGTAGAATGCGGACCAAGTAATAGGATCCACAAGGAAACTGCAAAGGAGTATATGAAAAGGACAAGGACAAAATTGGCTGCCTGGCCCGGCATTTTAACTCCACCCTGGCCTAGATGATATTCAAAGGGCTGAGATCTGTCATTTTGCATAGCTATCTAAATACCTAATCTTATATTCACTTTGTACTACCCGCTTTGATTTAAAACAATTCCACCCTCCAAAGTTTTATTGTTGAAGTAAGAAATTTGATGATTTGGAAGCGTTTACAGTGGAGCATATTTTGTGGTTATTGTTCTTGTGATGCGTCCAATACAAACCACTTTAGAAAAGCTCTGTTTTCTGCAGTTTAAATCCACTTTTGCAGAATAGAGGTTTTCCAACTGGCTGAGGAGGTGGGCTTTCTACTTTTCATTTAATGGATTCTCTGTGAGGAATGTGGTTTTCATTATTTTATTACATTTTTATTCCACCCTTCCTCCAAGGCACTTGCCCGCGCGCCCCCCCGCATTTTATTCTCATAGCAACCATGTGAGCTGCGTCAGGCTGAGGGATAGTGGTCACCGAAGGTCCAAGGTCGCCGAATGAGCTTTAGGGACCCCAGGCCCCTGTGCCACCCAGGCTTCACTGAGTGTTTCTTGTCATTCTTTTCTTTATATCAAATTATGGGGGGTGAATAAATATGCAACTACTTGAGCCTTCTGGTTGGGGTAAGAACAGCAACAGGTTGAGAAACCTTGCCTTAGTAGACAGATCTACTCTTGCTGACCTAAGAGTGGGCAACAGATTTGATGTCAAATCTGCGTTGGGTTTTTTAAAAAACCACAACAACACAATTGCCCACTTTATCCTATGAATTGAGTTTATAATGCTTCCTGATTTTTTAACCTTGCAGTGTACTGAAATTATGTAAGGAATGCAAGATAATCACTTACCATGTTGCTCTGTTTTCACAAAACAATGGGTGAATATGAGCTAAACAAGTGACAGCGTATTATGGGGTAGACACCCAAATTCAGTGCTGCTTTCAGACATGCTCTGGCATTCTCAGGAGATCTTAACTTGCACATCACCACATCTATCAGAAATGAGGTGACATGCAAAGAAATTTGGACATCTCTAAGACCCCTTGAATGAACTCAGGTGGCGCTGTGGATTAAACCACAGAGCCTAGGGCTTGCCGATCAGAAGGTCAGCGGTTCGAATCCCTGCGACGGGGTGAGCTCCTGTTGCTCGGTCCCTGCTCCTGCCAACCTAGCAGTTTGAAAGCACGTCAAAGTGCAAGTAGATAAATAGGTACCACTCCGGCGGGAAGGTAAATGGCATTTCCGTGCACTGCTCTGGTTCGCCAGAAGCGGCTTAGTCATGCTGGCCACATGACCCAGAAGCTGCCTGCGGACAAACGCCGGCTCCCTCAGCCAGTAAAGTGAGATGAGCGCCGCAACCCCAGAGTTGGCCACGACTGGACCAAATGGTCAGGGGTCCCTTTACCTTTTAAGACCCCTTGAAACTGCTCTGAAGAACCTGAGGGAGCGTTAAAAAAAAAAGAAAAAGGATTCCATTGAAGGAAACTGCTGAAGAGGAGGCAGAGGAGAACCCCTCTGTTGTGTGTCCTGGACTGTCACGGACTTCACCTTTACTTGCTGCACACTCACACAGGGTCATTGATCTTAATGTAAAGTGAATCCAGTTCTGGCTAGCTGAAGCTTCCAAGCAGGTTTTATTCTCTCCTTGCACTGTCCGTCCTTTGGGAGATGGTTTACAGCTGCCTCGCACTGACGACATGGCAGCCCCTGTTTGCTTTCCTATGGTGATAAGTGGAGAATGCTGAGCAACCACTGGGGTGTGTGCCAGCTTGACAGGGCAAGGTTAACCTTCACCTCTCCCTCTTTGTTTGCAGGCGTCCCTCTGGCAGCAGTCAACCTAGGAATTAACTTTTCGGCCAAAAAGAGGGCATTTGTTTTCTGTAGCGATGCCACGACCAAATCCAAATGCAAGCAACTGGGAATTTAACCAGAAATCCAGCTCCTCTGCATGAGAAATAAGGGCTGAAACACAACCCTGATTGTGCATTGACACTTGTTAAATGACTGCAACGCAGGAAGGAGGCCAAGATGTGGGGGATCCATGACTCAGGATGTTGCTGCAATGCTGGGGACAAATGTCTCACGTCACAGAGTCACCATACATGAGGCTTACGGAGAAAAAAGCCGTTATTGCTAGTTATTTCTTGGCCTTTTGGCTAAGATCAAGTGTAGCTTCTAGTGACCCAGAATCAGGGCATGGCCAGCACAGTAAGCTACACAAATATGTGAATGGTTCAGCAATTGCTCACAATGGCTCTTTGGATTGCTTTAGTAATATATATTGAACTGTTTCAGGATTATTACTACTTATATTTGAAAAAAGCTAAAATAAATATGTACTCCTGTACAATAATGTTGCATAGTATTTGGCAAGGATCTAAGCAACATGTTTGTAAAGAGACAAGCTAGTTCTGGTCCTCGCCACCACACAAGTCTTACGTGCACACACATACACTGTTATGAACATTGGCTATGCTACTGTTAGTTTTATATATATATATATGTCACATGCATGGTGAAAAGACCTTTGTAACCTTTTCTGGTGCTCCCCCTCTTTGTGACCCTGTGAGACAGGTCACTAAGGTGGTGGGGGTGGGGAACTGAAGGCAGTGAGGGGGGGGACATTTGATCAAAACTACAAAATGAATTGGTGAATTGATCTCAGCTCGGAAAGGGTTACAGCCCCTTCTATCTAGTCCCTTCAGTACAATCCACTGTGACTTAAGATTTTCATTTGTATCTGATACAGAACTATGAATAATAATAATAATAATTTTAATATTTGGACCCTGCCCATTTGACTGGGTTGCCTCAACTACTCTGAAAGGACATCCTTTTTTGTTGGGATGTGAATAGATGCCAGGAGAGGATATATTTATTGGATAATTAGAAGAAGAAGAAGAGTTTGGATTTGATATCCCGCTTTATCACTACCCCAAGGAGTCTCAGAGCAACTAACAATCTCCTTTCCCTTCCTCCCCCACAACAAACACTCTGTGAGGTGAGTGGGGCTGAGAGACTTCAGAGAAGTGGGACTGGCCCAAGGTCACCCAGCAGCTGCAGGTGGAGGAGCGGAGACGCGAACCCGGTTCACCAGATTACGAGTCCACTGCTCTTAACCACTACACCACACTGGCTCAGAGTTCGGCAGAGTTCATCCCTTTGCAGGTTAAAAGGAAGCTAAGATTGGCTAGTTTTAACCTTTTAGTTTAAATAATCCTGAATGCTTTAAGACAGTCTGGATTTTTCTGGTAGTTCCCCCTTTTCTACCCCTCTTAAAATAACAATTACACAACATCATGTAAAAGGCAAAACAGCATTTACTCACTCAGAATACTTGTGGAAGAGTAACAGATAAAGCAACTTTGTTCCGGCATGCTTAAAATGTTAATTCAGTTAGAAAGACATACTTAATTCTTGCTTAAAATGCAGTCTTTTTAAAAAATACTTATTAAAAGTTTAGAACATAAAATGAATTAAAAATCGCACTAATCTGGAAAGGAAAAAAGGAAAAAGCAAGGAAAAGGAAAGGAAGGAAATAAGAAGAGAAGAACAATGGGCCTCTATCAAAATTAAATCTTAACCCTTATTCCACACATGAAGCTCACACTTAGCAGAGATGTTGTCACGTTGCTGACAGAGCAGAGAGAGATGGAAAGAGGAAAGAGAGTGTGTCTGGGCAGGTAGTACAATCTATAGCTCAGCCCTACTGCAAGCAGGGCACAGTGTCTCTCACAAAGTTGCCTCCAGCAGAGTTTTCCTAATGTGTCTGATTGCAGTCCATTGGACTTTGGTGGCTCTACAGTACCCCCTTCCCGCCCCCCTTTTTTTGTTTCAGAGTTGATTTCAACTCCTACCCCACCCCAGAATTGTTTTACAATCTACCAGTATAATCAGATTTCTTAGAATAAAGGTTGTGCTTTGTTAAGGCCCTGCATCAGGAGTAATACCAAAAATTTAGGAGCACGTAATCAAGTGGATATGTGGACTCAGTGCATGGAATTAAAGGATTTGGCTGTTTTCAGACTTTACAACTGATGTGATTTGAAACTTCCTTAAAACTTATTCCTTAAAACTTCCTTTAAATAAACGAAGGCTCCTTTTTATAATCCTGAGTCATTGGTGGTTGCATTTCCCCCCTCTGCACAATATTTGTTATTACAGTTATTTAGTGCCTGTAACAAATGCATAAATAACATCTGTTTCAAGAGGTCAGGCCATTTTGCCTATAGCAGCAAGATAATATACAGCTCTGGCTTTTTCTTCTTTCTTTCCAATGAAATGTGCAGCTTGTGCTCCATATAGCACATCTATCTATTCAGCCACTTAAAGTATTAAGCCATCTAAGCTACAGCAAACTCTGGCCTTTTCAGCAAATGGACGTTCTGCAGTCAGTGGGATCCCAGGGTCTTTTTAAAAAAAAAAATAAAAGTTTTGTTGGTTTTATATCCCTCAAGATATCTCGTATTTTAAATCCTTGAGAGCTACTTAGCTATGCCAAGAAGCCTAAGGGGATATGCATGATTCATACATGGTATTTGATTCTTATCCTCCCCATTTGACCATCACAACAACCCTGTGAGGCAGGTAAAGCTGAGAGAGGGAGAGGGAGAAAGAGAAAGAAATAAAGAAAAAGAGAAAGTGGGGGGAGGGTGGCCCAAGGTGACCCAGGGAACTAAGACAGCAGAACACTTTGAAAGTCTGTTATTGTTGTGGACACTTGCAGTTAGTGTGCCGTTGACCTTCCTGCTAGGAATTACATCAGAAATGAAGCACTGCAATGCTATTGCTAGCCTTAGGATAACAGATCATAAGGACTGGTTCTGCTTGCAAGTCTATACTGCATGTTGGCCTTATGTAAGTGCAGAAGTGTACGCAATGAACAAGTATTTTATTAAAAAAAACTGATTGGTTTTATCACTGCAATACAATCTGATAACATCAATCTACCTCTTTATTTTATTTTAGCATTTCTTAGCATCTTTACAGCAAAACAAGTCCTATATTTTTAAAGAAGCTATTTTGGCATGCACGTTTGAGTATATCTGCACCTAAAGAGACCTCCAGTTCAGATAGATTATTGTACTTCCCAAACTAAAATAACAAACAGACTCTTGACATTTATTCCAAGAGAGGAAAGGAGTGCAAAAGAGAACTGACCTTCAGACGTTTATGCATTCCTTCTATGTCTCACTTTGCATGATGATTCCCATTGTCGCTCCATCGGAAAAATTCTGTCTGCGGGGGAGTGAATAGGTATTTTCCAGGCTTGGAAGACTTGTATGCTGCTTTGCTGACTGGTGTGATGGTGTAGCTCTCCTCGTACTCTGGTTGCAGAGATGATACACATAGGGTATGTTACTGATTAGAATGACAAACTTTTAGGAAATGCGAATATTCTTGGAAATTTTACTTTTTCATCCTCAGTTTGCAGCAAACACAATACTGGCAATACTATGAATTATATGACTATATTGAATTGTATCAATTGTTTTGATGAATTGGTTGTTGTTTTTAGCTTTATATGCTATTGCATTTGATATTCTAGCAATCCATGTTCGAAACTCCCATTGTTCTGGGCGCATTTTACGACAGGGAATTTCATTAGAGTGAGCAGTTTCTGAGCTCTGGGTGCAGTATTGGGCCTAAGATTTCAGATTAAAACTGCAGAGTAGAAGGAAAGGATGACCTTTTTCTGCCTCCCCACTTCCAGCTACTCTCTGAAGACTGGAGAAGAGACCCTCTTAAGAATATTAGGGGGTGTGGGAAGGGGAAGGACTAGACCATGTGAAAAATGAACATAGTATTTTAGCAGTTCATTCATTTTCAGCTTTGTATTCTTGTTATAAAAAAAGCACACCTAGACATTCTATTGTTGCGCCCTTAACTTAGGTTTAAGGTGCCATTTAGCTCCTATATCTCAGTTTCTAACACTGCTAGCAACTGCAATGCTTGTTGCTGTATCAATGCTTCTGTGATTATTGTGAGCCACTTTGAGCTCAACATTGGTTGTTGGGAAAGCTGAATACAAATATTAAATCAACACTACTCAACACAGCACACCAGCTATGTATGGCAGTCCAGCAGCAGTTGCCAAACACACCTGGTAAGTCACAGTACATTGCTGGTAGGCTGTTCTGCCTTGTGGGAAAGAAGGGAACACAGTCCAGTGGTTGTGCTTTGCACACTAAAGTTTTATCCCCGGCATTTCCAGTAGTCATTGATGAGGAAGATCTCTATCTGAGAGCTGTTGGCAGGCATTACTGGGTTAAATAGACTGGGTTAAATAGACAATAGTCTTATATAGTGGAAGACAGCAACATACATCCCTAAACTGGGCAGTTTTAATTTACGTACACCCTGGAGGAGAACCAAGACTTGCATTAGCAGCCTTTGAGGGCTACTAGTTAAATCACTCCTTCAAATTATCACAACATTGTCTTCTTAAACTTTGCACAAGGAACTGGGCAAATGGCCAAGTTTCTCTTTCCGCTTGCCAGCTTTATAGCTCTAGGGAAAAACACGCCAATCCTCTTGCATTATATAGGTAACAGGGGCTGTGGCCTTGCTCACTCTGCTCACCAAGCTCCTCCCTCTCCCCCCATATTAGCCCGCTAGAACTTGCCCTCTCTCCACCCCATGAAACTACCAAACTCACTTTTCACCTTTCAAATCCCATTTCTGAAGTCCCTTCTTCTCCTAATCTGCAGCCCAACATGGGACCTCTGTTTTCACATATAGCCCCATTTCCATGCCTCCTCCGCCTCCTTCTTCTGTACAACCCCCTCTTGCACACAAACCACCCCATGGTAGCATCCTGCATCTTCCTCCTCCTACACATTGCAGCTATAAGCACTTTTCCTACCCTCTGCCCAGTTAAAAAGCCACCATCCCCTCCTGTTCTGCCGGACCTTTCATGCCCCTGTGAACATCTTCAACCCCATTCCCACGCCTCCTGGTCCCTTCTTTACTCAAACCCCTGTTGCTTAAAACCACAATTTTCCTCTGTAAACCTCCACTCTTTCTTTACTCAAACCTCTGCTGTTGTTTGCTTAGCTTGATATTTTAAGATATGATAAAATACAATTGTTACGTAAAATGTTTTGCATTAAGTTAATGTAGGAATACTGAAAGGTCAATATAACAGAATGTTGTGCTTCTTACTAATATACTATCATTTAGAGTTTGTATGACACATGAAATGTCTACATTTGTTAAATATAATGTGGTTTATTTATTTTTTTAAAAAGCATTTTGATAAGACTACCGAAATTTGGGGGCATGCAGTTGTTGCTGACAATTTCATTTTTGT